CCCTGGCTGGCAGGGTGATTTTTAGGTTAATTCTTAGGTCCTCCCACCAGTCACATATCTCCGAGCCGCCTGTATTGTCAGGGTCACTCAGTTCGCTGTCAGACCGCAGCTCCATAGGTCTCCTTTTTTTTTTTTGTATTTTCATGCAAATTCTTCTGCTAGTTGGGGTTTAGTCCAATTCTGCATCCTTTAACAGGGCCCTTCTTGAGATTAAAAAAAAAAAGACTTAATGATGGGTGGGTTAGTCATCCCTTGCACCGGATGGCCCCTGCCTACCTGTCCAACATCCTTTCTCATCCCCACTTCCTCCCACCCACCCCTCACTCTGTTCTCTATGCTTCAGCCAGACCCCACTGCTTTCATTTTTTTACATACGTTGTTGTTGTTGTGTGTCATTGAGTCGATTGCAACTCATAGTGACCCTCTACGGTAACTTATTCCATTCTCACAGCAGCCCTATATGGTAGATACATTTCTTACCCCATTTTCCGGAAAAGACCAACTGAGGCCCTGAGACATTACCACCCTCCCACCTCAGGCCAGAACTCCCCCCCCCTTCTCTGTAAGGCAGGTGCTGCTGGAGCGAGGAGGCGGGGATGGCACCTGGCACCCCTTCTACGCCACCGAGGTGTGGGTGACAGTTATTAATGCCTCCCTGGCAACTGTCCAGCTCCCTCTTTTTGATTATTATTATTTTATTCGGTGAGATTAATGTGCCAGGTCAGAGCGTGATCCAGCCTGTGAAAGTGATGTGAATAGTCTCGTCAAGATAAATTGCAGGCTTGGAAAGGGTTCACAGCCTCGGCTTGCCTGTCTGAGTGCTCTCCCAAATCCCCATCAATCCTTGTCTGGGGAGAAGAAAAGGACAGGTCTTCATTTGCAGCTGGGAGGGGAGGGTGGGGATAGCACATCTGTCAGGGACCCCTAATGGCTCACAGCACAGATGCTCTTCCCTGGGCCTCCACACCGTCCACAGAGAGGGTGGGCTTTTTATTTGTAATACTGTCTTCATTGTACTGGAAGGGCTGTTGGTATTTGGGTTTGCTTGATATCCCCTGATGTGTCAGGCTGGATGAGCTGTCTTGTCTGGGGACTTTGGGAATCTCTTCATTTTCCTCCTGTTCTTAATCATCCCTCTGGCAACACCACCATCCACCTGCTTCCTGACATGGGAGGGTCTGTCGGGCATCCTCACACACCTGGGCCTCCCGGAAGAATCAGGCTCGTTGGCCAGCCGTGATGGTGATGAGGTTAAAGATGGCAGCCCCCACAACCCAAACCACCCCTCTGCCTGGGTCTTGAGCTTCTACTTGTGGTTCTCTAAGTGGCTAACTTTTATACGTAGCCCTCATGCTGTAGCCTTGCCTGACCTGGCGCCTGCCCACCTCGCCGACCTCCTCGCCCGTGACTCTCATCATTGCTTACTGGGGACTGGCCGCCCCGGCGGCACCACTCTCCCTCCAGTGCCTCTCCTCTCAGGCCCTGTGCACGTGCCGTCCCCTCTGCCTGCCGTGGTCCCCCCGCCCCTGTTCCCAGTCAGTCAGCTCCTTCTCATCATTCAAATCTCGGCTCACATGTCACTTTTTCTGAGAGGTTGTCCTCAACCACACTGTTGAAAGACACTCTTTGTAACCTGCCATTCTCATGCCGCCATTTCACATCCCTCATAGCATGTATCAGTATCTGAAATGATCAGACTGTTTTCTTTCTTTCTGTCTCTTTCCAGTGGAGTGTAAGCTTTTGAGAATAAGGGCAACTAGGTCTGTGTCTAGCATACAAAAAAGCCAAACTCGCTGCCTTCGAGTCGGATCTGACTCATAGCGACCCCTCCTTTGGTTTTTGAGGCAGTATCTCTACCGAGGTAGATTGCCCAGTCTTCCTTCCAAGCAGTGGCTGCAGTAGATATCAATGGCTGAGGAAAGAGACTTATTAATAGTTAATTATCTATTGTTGTTGTTAGCTGCCTTCGAGCAACCTTGACTCATGGTGACCCATTGGGCCATTTTGATCCATAGGACTTTCATTGGCTCCTGGTGACCCACTGGGCTGTTATGATCCATAGGACTTGCATTGCCTGATTTTCAGAAGTGTGTTGCCAGGCCTTTGTTCCTAGTCTGTCGTAGTCTGGTAGCTCCAGCATCCTAGCAACACGCACGCCTCTGATGACAGACAAGTTATAGCTGTCCTTGAGGTGTGTTGGCCAGGAGTTGGCCCTGGGTCTTCCACACTGAGGGTGAGAATTCTGCCCCAGCCCCATCATTGCCCTCTATCTAGTAAGGGGTTTCAAACCAAGCCTG